AAGACAACTCGTTATGTTAATGTTATAGCATACAAATGTAATAATTAGATTGAGTGCTTCTATTTGTAATTGTATAGGGTTTTAAAAGGGATGATCGCGCTTCATACACACACTTTTACACCCAATAAAATAACAAAAAGATGCATTCAATTCTTAAATATTGGTTTTTTTTTTTAACATTTTTGACCATTTTAGTCAATTTGTATTACATATCATCAAGATGACAATATTTATGGCATGCAGTTTTTACCTTTATTCAATTTTAAGATATCTTATAAAGTTAACTTAATGATTATATACTATAAAGTATATAAAATATGTTGTATTCTTTATGAGATATCTTACTTAATTTGAAGTTAATAAGTTATCTTATAACTAGTTTTCAGTTACTACGAGTACTCGCAGATCTGTACTGTGTGTCTTTTGTGTTTTTGTTAAGGTTTTGTTGTGCATTGTATCGATCTAATGAATTAAGCCCTTTTCAACTGATTTTGATTTTTATAGTTTGTCCTTATGTTGTACTGTTACACAACTGTCCCGTGTTAGAGGGAGGGTTTATAAAATATCTCTATAAGATATCTGTATTGATTTATAAGATATCTCTATTATTTTATAAGATATCGGTTTTAGTTTGTAAGATATCTTATTTTGTTTATAAGGTTTATCTATTAGTTTATACGATATCTTATTTAAGGTCAAGGAACACTAAATGGGCTACTTTTTTAGTATGTCACAGATTTTGGTAAACTTATAAGAAGGTTTTTCGTCGATTTTGTGTGCTTTCTATACAAATGTTCACTTATTTTGAAAGAATTCAATCAGTAATATTTCAAAAAATAATAGAGATAAATGTATTATTTTTTCGATTTTCGGTGATAGTTCTACGAGTCAAAAATACATGCAAAATTTTACCAGATCTGTAACATTTCCCATTTACTGTAACTTGACCTTAATATATAAAGTATATAATATATTTCATTAACTCCAAATTAAATAAGATATTTAATAAAGAATACAAAATTTCTTATATACTTTATAAGACATCGTATTTAAGATATCTCAAAAAGTTTATAAGATACCTGTTTAACTTTCTGAGATATCTTGAAGCTGGAATAAATAAAAACGGCTTGCTCTATATATATTTGTCTATTATTTGAGGACTTGTAGAGTTCATATTTCAATTGTTTCGTTTTTACAATAAACAATGACAATAATTCATATTTTAAACTGTATAAATCTGAATAATATTATATCCATGTGTATTTTTTTTTATTACACATTACTTTAATTTCATCTGCTTTTGATCATGAGATCTGCCAACGCCTAGTATACATATAGTTGGAACATTACCATTTATATCGGGAACTACTGCCAAACTTGAGTGCGTGGCGAATAAGACAAATGAAAGATTTCTACTTACATGGAAGTGTGGTTACATAACGTACGACAAAACATTTATGAGCAACAACATGTCAGTCTGGTCAAATCTTTTGTTAAAAGTAGACTCATCTTATAACAACATCCAGTGCCAATGTATTACACAGATTCCGGGTGTTAATTTTACATTGATTGATGCTGTCACATTGAAGATTAAAAGTAAGTTCCTTGGCACATTTTTAAAGTAATTGAGTCCTTTTTTCTGGTTTAAAAGGTGTACAATGATGTTCCCGAGTTATGATATTTCAAAGAGATATGGCGCACAATTTGCAGAATTGTCACCGGATATTCATCCAAAGTGAAATTTAGATGTGTCTAATGTATTAGTATAATTCCTTGTCTAGGTGATTTATTTTAGTATCATGAAGCACGGAAATGATATGAAGTATGTGCTTTTCCTGTGAATAGAAACAAAACAATCATGTTGCATGCCTTCATCGTATACAGTTCATACGGAGGGACTTGCTCAAGCCAATAAGTGTGTTACTTTAATGCGAAACCCACTGAAAATTAAATTTTATTGGTAAAGGGACGATTACAAGGGGAACGTATTAATAGTGTTATATTATAGGTATGGACAATATATAATATCGATTACTAGTTAAATTCAAGATGTTGGAACGAGAAAAGTAATGGTGTTTTCTCTGAAATAAAAATGTTTCACCAGGTTGTTTAATTGTCATTGACTTCATAAAATTGCTAAAACCTAATACGAAAACCTTTCTATAATTAATCATATGTAATGTCAAATAAGTAAAATTATTCATTCGCAGATAAACCTATCTTGACACTTAATGAAGAGTTTTACTGCAATTTTTCCAAGCCTGTCGCTCTTGTTTGTACAGCAAAAGGGGAACTTGGAATGTTTGGTTTTTCGTCATGGATTCACAGTGTTGATGGCACATACATCCGATCCATCAACGGCACATTAGACAAACATAACTCAGTCCTAATTATAAATGACTGTAACTACCGTGATGAAGGAAAGTACACATGCAGTGTTTGGAATAATGATGCAAATGTTATTTTATGGGCAAACCACACGACTAAATTGATTGTAGCTGGTATGTAGTGTTTTATTGTCTACTTAACTTTTACGATTTCACTGAAATTTAAGCAATTTTTACCTGATTTAGATGAAATGTGTTGATATGGTCAGAAGTTCCTTAAACGACTTTTTTACTGTTTTTTTTAACTATTTTACAGGGCCAAGCGAGCTATTCCGGTTACTTGGCGACCGTCGTTACAAACATCGCCTCCTCCGAAACTACTGAGCCAATTTTAACCAAATTTGACCACAAGCACAATCATCATTGGGGTATCTATTTTAATAATGTTTTCGATGCCTTGCCTGCCAACCAACATGGCCGACATGACTTAAACAGAACATAGACTGACAAGTCTGACAGAAGCAATAACATTCAGAATGTTGAGATCTACCTAATGTCTATTTTCATCAAGAAGTCAGCTGCAGACGACTACTATTTGTTTTGCCTATTATCTTGAAAACTATAACAGATAGAGAGAAACTATAAATAGCAAACAGGATCAGCAAGACAGGAACTACAAATAAGTCAAATTATGCCGGAATTGTTAGAAGACTCTTTATAAGATTTATAGACAAAAAAGACGATTTTTACCCTTTTTGTGTTTTGGACAAATATTGAAGAAGGTAGAGAGAAACTGTAAACAGAAAAAAATGATCATCAATACAAGATGAACAAAAAAGAGATTTTTTGTCATGAATTACATTCTTGTCTACAATGTTGGAGTGTGACCATTGTTGAAGATGCACTTAGATTTAGGTGCGCGACACAGGCTCTTTAGAGCCGCTTGTTTATATTGTGCTTATTTTCGCCAAGAACGTTTTAAAATCACAATATAAAAGTAATGTGGTGAGTGCATGTGAACAAAAACAAAGTAATATTAATTTCAGGGCCTCCTATCATTGTGAACCGCAGCTCTAAAAAAGACAGAGGAGAATGGCATCTTACAATACAGATCTTTACCAGGTCAGCATTATCCACAGTCGATTGGCGTTGTAATGAAGTGTCCTTGTTAAATCTCTCATCCACTGGTGAATATCTAAAACGATTGAAAATGGATTTGGTTATTTATGATCGAACACTATCAGTTCAGGGGTATATGACTTACTTTACAACAGGCCAGCACGACTGCTCTCTCAGCGACTATAATATATGTTTGACAAACATATTTGGAAGAAGATGTGAACAAATTAAGGTCACATTAGGTATGATCTAAAAGCGAAAATATGTTTTATAGAATTCCATGTGAAAGTGTAAAAACTATAAACTTTAAGAAACCATAAGATATCATTATATAACTTCAGTATTTTCTCAGAAGCAATGACTAAATAATATGAAAATACCTAGTGTGGTTGCTCACCGTACCTAAATATTTTTTGTTAAAGGGATAGCGCCACGTTCCCCTGTATTTGTTTCAGTCATTGTGTCAACATTGATAAGATTATGAATCTAAGTGTAGTTGGATTTGACTACAAGAGATGTGAAATAGGGCATACATTTATATATTATTGATGGACACTTGATTTAATCTGTTTTGGACTTAACAAATAGAATGTGAAAAAAAATCACACAGATACGTAAATTTTTTTATATACCACAGGTAATAATTACATGTACAAATCAGCATTTTTTAGAAAAAATAGAATAAAATACATATACAGAAATATAAAAAATAGAATAAAATACATATACAGAAATATAACATATTACTGTCACAAACGCATGTACACACATGAAGCTATGGTGATGTGATTTTTAAAAAAAAAGATTCATGGAATTTTAAAAATAACCCTGAAATGAAATCAAGATAAGCATGACAGTTCCTATCTCTTTCTTGGGTCACTTATATCTTCATATATACAAAATGTAGTGTCTAATAATGTTGTTTTTTTTTGCTTGAAACGCAGCAACCTAAACCAAATAAAACCAAAAATGTATCAACCAATGCAAAACCTTGAAACTTTCACATATATGGTACAAGGTACTTGTTGATTTGATTCCTCTCTATATTTATTTTCATAAATTGAAAAATAAAAGAAGGTGTGATACAAAAGAAGACACAAATGTGTATGGTGCTGTTGGTACAAAACGTATGCCGTACTATCATTAATAAAATCTAATGTTTTAACCAATCCACACTTATACAATGTATGATAATTAATCACTGAATATGATTGGTAAGGTCTTTGGTTGCCTGTGTATCAGATTAGCATTCAAATTTTCAAGATTTGTACCGTTGTTAGAATTCATCAATTTTGGGGGCTTGATATTTTTGAAAAACTTTAATTAATTAAATATTTTAATATACAAAAATAAAGCACTTTAATGAATGTCAATCACATCAAAATATGAGATAAAATATACAAATGAATTTCATTAGTAAAACTGTGATATCCATTAAAAAAAACTATTGATCCAGCAATTTGTATAGCTTCTTCTTGCACATTGACATGACATAATGTTCTTTTCGCATCACACATGATCGCATTTAGTTATATTTTATCACAGAACACACTGGTATGAATACGTTCTGGATCATGGTAGGGGTCGTATTGACGATTTTGACAACAGGCTTCTTAACAATCTCACTGACAATCAGGTCTAAACAGAAGGAATCTGGTAACTGTTTATGATTTTTTTATATTATTTATTATTTTTAACTGAATTCTCTTAGTTTTCTTCATTTTACTGTTGTTTTTTTTTATTGTTGTGGTATAACTATAGCGTATGTATATAATACAAGGTTAGTAATATATATTTAGCCGTTAATAGATAAAAGAAGATGTGGTATGAGTGCCAATGAGACAACTACGAAATCCGAGAAGGATCATTCATAATTCAGAATTCAAAATTCAAATTTCAGAACTCGCAAATAAAGAAAGATAATCCTGTTTTATTGCAGTTGAAATCCAAACACAATAAATATTATCATAATCTTATCTCTTGATCTTAGATATACCTTAGATTAATATTATAATTGTACACAGACAAACAACCAAACTTTTGAAAGGATATGTGCCGACATTATGTCAGACAAGTGAAACATTTCTTGTTATCACTTATACTCAGGGAGAGTGGGGATATCGAGTGTCACTTCAATCCTTATTCTAATGTTTTATGTTTTTCTTCAGTTCATAACTTGAGAATGATTCATAATATAAAAATAAGAAGATGTGGTATGATTACCAATGACACAACTGACTAAGGTGAAAACTGTAAAACAATGCAAACGATTTATGTACAAAATAATGAACGAAAAACAAATATGATATACAGCAACAAACGACAACCACTTAATTACAGGCTCCTGACTTGGTACAGGCATATACAGAATGTGGCGGGGTTAAACTAGTTTGACGGCGCGCCACCCTCCTCCCCCCCCCCCCCCCTTACCTGGGAGAGTGGTGTAACAGTACAACATAAGAACAAACTATAAAAATCAGTTGAAAAGATCTTAACTCATCAGATCGATACAAAGCAGAAAAAAATAATTTAGTTTGATTTACTGATAACAAAATCAATATTAATACCAATAAAACTATATTACTAGTATTCAAATAGTGTTGAAATGGTAACCTTTTATAATAAGTTTATTTAAAGGATTGATAAGTTCACCCGTTTATCGCATCCGGGCCTTGTAAACAACATCTTCGTAAAAATTTGGATGTGCTATCCCGTTAAAAATAAGTTTTCTACAGGTACAACCAAACTTCCAAACCAAATCTTTATAACTATGGAAAAATTTAGTAAAGGTTTTACCAATTCAACACTGTAATTAGATCTTTTAATATTGTTATTGATATTGATATTGATATTGTTTTCAGTAAATTAAAATCAAACTAAATATCTATACTATTAAACGAGAAGACCTCATTTTGTGTGTCGCTTCTCTTCCTTCCACAATAAATTAATCATCATGCCTTTGTGTCCTATAGGTACCATGCATAGTCGCATTTGTCATCCTCGCTTACGATTATCCAGTTTGGGTTATTTTGGGAGGAAAACGAAAATAAAGGCGTCCGGATATTGTTTCCGTCATCGGACGGACTTTTAAGTCATAGAAAAGACTTCCGTTTAGGACTGTTTTAAAATTACACATAATTTTCATTAGTTCTTGGGGACATGACAATTATTTTCGCGTTTTTCTGTATACTATGATCATACATAATTATACTTTAAATAAAGTGCGTTTGCTATTCCAAGTTTACTACCCACGGCGGTCCCTGATATATTATATAGAGAGTCTCTATATAATATATCAGTGACCGCCGTGGATAGTCTCTTAGTCTATATAATAATATCAGTGACCGCAGTGGAAAGTAAACTTGGAAGTGATAGTAAATAGCATATACACTTTATTGAAAGTATATGTATGTTCATAGTATACAGAAAAACAGAAAACAAAAATAACGGACTTGAGATAAAAGTGGGAGGGCTAAAAAAAAATGTGTCCTGTCCCCAAATACCGATGACTTTTGATACCTTTCCTGAAATTCTCCAGTCAAATCTTTTACAAAAATTCATCCTACAACAGTTTACATACATGTACTTTCAATTACGCTCTAATGCCCGCGATTTCGCGGGTGTGTTCTAGTTATTTTTATATACATATGCATATTCATGGCTCTACAATCTGTCGATACCTGTATCTTGGCATTAAAGAAAAGCATGTTTTCTCTGACTGTGCAACACGTCTTTACACTAAATCCATATGATGTTAGATGTGTACTGATTGATATTTTAGTCTTAGATGCATGATTTTTTTTAAAGTTGTTATTGGATTTGAACTAGCTGTCAGTAATTGCGAGTATTCTCAGATCTGTACTTAGTGTCTCTTTGTTGTGGGGATGTATAAGTACCTTGAAACGTCCACTCTGTGTTTTTGTTACTTGTTTTTGTGCTTTGTACCGATCTGATGAGTTAAGCCCTTTTCAACTGATTTTTATAGTTTGTTCATATTTGTACTGTTACACCACTGTCCCTGGTAAAAGGTAGGGTAAGGCGCCCTCTAACATGTTTAACCCGGCCTCTTTTTGTATGTGCCTGTCCCAAGGCAGGAGCCTTTTATTCAATTGATGTCGTTTGTTGCTGTATATCATATTTTGCTTTCGTTTATTATTTTGTACATAAATCAGGCCGTTAGTTTTCTCGTTTGAATTGTTTTACATTTGTTATTTTGGGGCCTTTTATAGCTGACTATGCGGTATGGGCTTTGCTCATTGTTGCAGGCCGTACTATGACCTATAGTTGTTAATTTCTGTGTCATTTGGTCTCTTGTGGAGAGTTGTCTCATTGGCAATCATTCCACATCTTCTTATTTTCATATTAAAGTAATTTGTGGTAACAAAATCCCTGACTTAAAATTTATCAGTAGAACATAGATTACCTTTATTGAAATCAAGGGAACGAAAAAATGTCCCTTTTGTCGTATATATTTTAGTGTAGAGTTTTCCGTGTAAAACTGAAATGTTTACATTTTCCCCGTAGAATACACTTAGTCACGTATCCGTAAATAATTTGACTATTCTAGAGTGATAAAATAGTAACTTGCAATGCACAATTCACAGTATATGTTTACCATATATGAGTCGAAAAAAATGGGCGCCAGTAGGTCACGTTTAAAAATTACCTCAAGCTAAACTGATCTTAACATTTATTAAGATCAAAGGACAGACGCAGATCAAGTCTTTGGTGCTTTTTTGTTCTGTTTTTTTTTTGGGGGGGGGGGGGGGGGGGTTGACGCTCTTTACCATTAGGAATTAGAGGAATGTAAAATTAGCTGTCAGTTTACCTTTATTTTTCCTTTATGAGGGGGGGGGGGGGGCACCACCGCTTGAATCCGTACCTGCTGATATATTATATTAATTATACACGGGGTTTACTACATAGTTCACTTAAAAACAGAATGTTTTCAGATATTATGAAGCTTAAATCTGTTAATATATTCAAATTGTTTGCATTGATATAGATTGCAGGTGAACCTTTTTGGTGGCAAATTGTGCACCATCTTCATTTATACAACAAAAAAATATATTTCGTCCGCTTTTCGGTGTAGTGAATAAGAATTATGGTCGGGTGTAAAATTAGAGAATAGGCAGGCGAAGAATGGAGACCGTAGCGATGTTTTTTTTTATTCACACAGGGAACAAATTGAGAATTCTATGCTGTAAGAAATTAAGCATTTCGCTTTGTGAAAAGATAAATTTTCTTACATTGCACAGGATGCTTACATAATTTTGACATACTATATTTGATTGTGTTATAAAATTTCAACTATAATCATTTTTTTAATGATTATTTATTAATTTATTTCTGTTATATATTTAACCCGAAATCAACTTTGTAAAGGACGAAAATGTGTGCAATGTTCCTGGATATCAATTTTACCCGGGGCTTCCGGATTTTTTCATTGCATCTTAACAATGTCAGTTGGAAATCTAGTGTCATTATATTACCTCCCCTGTAAACACTGAAAACTTGATCTTTCAATGTTGGTTCTGATTTAGCAAGGTCACTATTAGTTATTAATTCACAAGAAAACGTTCTGGTAGTATAAATAAAAAAGATTTGAAATAAAAAAAAAACTAATTTTCCAAATAAAGTTGTCATCTCCCTCCTAAAATAGCAAACGACGAGTACATAGGGCTATAGAAGTTTTGTGTATAATAAAGATAAAAAAAAAGCTTTGTGAAAAATTAGGTTAAAATACTCCTATGCGAATACGTTCCTGGAGTACCAGCTTCAATTTATGTTTCTACTGGCTGTATACCTCTCTGGAACATGCCAATTATTCGCATATGCATCATATGTACATTTGATTCAGTGGTACTGATGGCATTTTAAGCAGCCCTCTTTTTCATGTATTGACATCGGGACTTTTAATGTCTTGCTATGTGGTAAGGGGTTTGCTCATTGTTGAAGTGGTAATAAGCATTGTATGTAAGTTTCATCACATTTGGTTGAGGCAAATAATGTTAGAGTGCGGAAACGGCAAATTTAGCAAATTTATAAAGGGGCATAACTCGAGAACAGTGAAAGTGACGCCAGCCAAATTTGAACTAAATCTGAGTTTGGTGGTAATAAGCAATGTGTTTAAGTTGCATCACATTTGGTTGAGGCAAAATAAAGTTAAATTCTGGAAACTACAAATTTGCCAATTTCCCCATTAAAACGTACGGACGTACTGACGGACAATGGTTAAAAATTAAAGTAATGCCTCCCTCCTCCACAGCTGAGATTATTCCGGCGGCACGTGTGTGTGTACCTTTGTATAAAAATAGTCCATTTATAAGATTGGAGTAGACTGCAAAAAGTGTGTGTGTGTGGACCGATGCTGCCGTATTCCAATTTTAAATAAATTCCAAAAATGAAATTTAAAAGAAGGGTCCAATCCTCTAAGCGCCTGTAAATCTTGTAGAATTCGGAAATTATGAGAAAGCACCTCAAAGAAGGGAATTACATTGTCTTACAATTAATTATTTTTATAACTTCAAAACATTATTTTTTTCAGGAAAACTTTTTCAAATACATTTTGTCTTACTAATATATATCAGAAGCTGCTCTGGTAATTTTTACATCGCGATGACCGTGAGGGCATTCCGATGTATTGTTGCCAGATAGATTTCTACTTACGTAACTTTCGTGTTTGACTGGTAACCGATCTATAAATACGCGGACATTATCAAGTGCAAAATAAAATTCCTTATCGCTTGTTATAAATTCATTTCTTCAATGAATTCTCATAAAAATATTTTATTTTAGAACATAAATTTTAAAATAATATGAAAATGTTTTGTCGTTAGAAATATATATATAAGTAAAAAATTAATATCTATGCACACGTTCAGAAAAATTGTGTTAACGCATGCGGAAGAATATCTCAAGAACGTTTTGTGGGAAAATATAAATGCCTACTCAAATCCGATCTATTAGAAAAATCGAATTATTACAGAAGAGTGTCCATCATGCACTTGCACTGCACTATTCAGTCGTACAACTATGCCCAAGAATTTGCATCAAAATGATGTTGGATTGAAAATCAGCTTATCACCAATACCACTTAGAAAACACAAAATTTTCAAATAAATTTGTCACTCCAATTATAAGTTTGTTAGTTGATGAATACCACATGTTTTGTTTTCATGATAATTGGTGGTAGTTGTTGCATGAATGAATTAATAGTAAATACAAATGTGAATATTAATTTTTTTTAGTTAATTACAAATGTAAACATGTAATAAAAATTAAAACTTATAGGTAGACAAATAAAAATTTCAATTTTTTTTTTATGTGTAGGGAAATATAACATCACAAACTTTCCTTCATCCTTTTTAATATTTAATTTCCATGAGTAGTTATTATAAAATGTTAAAATAATCAAAATTTCAATTAATTTCATTGTTCCTGTTCTGGAATGGTAAAATCAGAAACTGGACATTTTCTGTATTATCATCTCTACTGTTATTACAAACTCAGTTTTTTGTTTTAAACATCTGTTTGTTAAGTATTATTATCAGACCCTTTATCAGCATCAGGTGACAGATTTACAGCTTTAGTTAACCATTTTATAATTGAGAGAAGATATGAAAATTACACTCTGTAGGGTTTGGATGCAAGACTGTATTATTAGAATAGTAGAATAGAATGATATACAAATGGATGAAAATTATATATACATGTAACTGTTATATACAAATATAAATATAATATATAACAACAAACCAGAGTATACTGATTTGTATCTCTACAATCAGAGACATATTTACTAAATATTTATATGTCTCTGCTACAATATAATAGTTATTACGATGAGGTTGAATTCCCTGTCATTTATTCATCATCCACGCACGAAATTTTCTCAGAAAAAATTATATCTCTGTACATTAACCTCACTTTCAGCTATAGAGATGTGATTTTTTTTCTGAGACAAGTGCTTGTGACCATCCACAAGAACTTGCGGTCATCCGATGTTCAGTACTTCAGTACTTTGATTAACATTTGACATAGTTTTCATTTTATCAGCTGTATGAGTGAAACAGATTATAACGACATTCACCTTTAACATGTTATGATAAGATTTGCATCATCAGTAATGGTTGCGGTAATCCGGGTGACTGTTTAAAAACAGGAGAACGGTTTTCAGCTTTCGTGTGTTCAACATTACCTTGAAATCTTTTATAAGTAAACTATTGCAAATGAAATACATACTGAAGTATTTTGAAACGCACTTGGTTATTATAATATAGGTGTTTTCATGCATATTTGAAATTTAATTGTGTGGTGGCCCTTTTGTACGCCCCTTAGCTGTTTGTGGATGCGAGTTTCCAGAAGGGAGAAATACAAACTTTATTACAATCTATTATCATATTGCTGCTTTATGTGCATTTTTTCTTATACATGTATATCATATATTTAGGATAACAATTCTAGTATATCATATCGATGTACCTCACTTGCCATTTTATTGGCGACTAATTATTTATGAGCTACTGATCTGCATTCTCAAATAAATTGACACATCAATAACCGAGTGTCTAGGCTTGTCGAGTTCAACTGTAGAATGTGTTTATTTACAGTTTTTATTGTTTGCATCTATTTTTAGAAAAGTTTGTACTTCTGACAGTTTTATAAAACTGTTATAAATGAATTATGTGCTTTGTTTGGACTTTTATATACTATTCATCGATTCTGGGCGATCCCAAGACTTCATTCGATTATATATATTTTATTAGATAAAGCTGAGACATACATGTCTCCGGATAAAGCACATATGATAAATATGACATTGCGTAATCCAAGTGTACAACATACATGACACATACAACATGACAAATAATGTATATATACATCTTTTCTGAATATATAAATTGAATTACATAAGTTAATGACATAAGTGTCATATTTAGTTCAATCATAGACCGTGACACCTAAACAACATAACTGAAAATTGTCAAAAACTTGACTCGAATTTTGTTGCTATAACAACATAAAATTTGATAAATTTGATAAATAATACACAAAATCTGTCTGCTGTATATATATACATACTTATTTTAATAACTAGATTCTTCGTTTGGAAAACCGGGTTATAATAAGAGATTGGTTGTTGTTTGCTTAACTTCCAGTGGCAAATATTTCATGCATATTTATTATGAGAGAAATATAATTAATACAAAAGGTAGGTCTTAAAATAGGCGGTCGACCGGGATGAAGGGCGAAAAATTTGGAACGCCGCTGGAAATAAGGATATATCGAGTAGGACAGAAATTTTGCCTTGCAACAAGACCCCTCAAAAGTTGTTGCAAGGTTCTTAGCGTGCAGAGATCGTGGTATTCTCTCTACACGAATAATCGGATTAAACGTTCCCAATATGACCGGACGTGACTGAGAATTTATGCGTCCCGCACAACAAAAAGGACTTAGTTTAAAAAGCGTATTACTGCCGATCGGATGAAGACCAAGGGATGACCATATTGCTATACACCCGTCAAAAAGGAAAAAAAAAAATAAGAGACGTACCTATAATTCATGAGACAGACTTTAAACAAGAGCTTCTCAATCAAAATGATAATAACTGTGATTTATCGCTATTTTACGAAATTTTCCTTTGATTTTACTGACTGATAATTTCCTTTCTCAGCACAGTAGAGTGATATTATTAGATTATTACATGGCATTTTTCATATCAGATGTATTATCAGCCCAAGTTTCAATATCAGCCCAAGAGCCGAAGGCTCGAGGGCTGATAATGCATCTGATATGAAAAATGACATGTTATGATCTTTTTATCATATGCTTCAACAATGAAGAAAAAAATAGTTTAATATATTGATCCTTTTAAGTGGTTCTCAAGTAGAAGTTCAAAAACTGAAATGTTTACGGACGTCAGCCGCCAAATGTAATACATCCGATATGAAATCTTTCTATCATATGCCTCAACAGAGGAGAAAACAACAGTTTAATATATTTCTATATTGACGATAAACAAAAAATTCAACAAAACATAATGATAGATATAAGAAGATGTGGTATGAGTGCCAAGAGCACTGTTTGGAAAAGTCAACATTTGTAAAGAAACTTTCTAGATTATGCTTGAAAATTTGAAAAATGAATTTACTGTATCATTTGCAACTTACATAATATGTTTTCCTGTTTCCTAATATTTGTTTTGTATCCTACTTTGTTATGTTTTTCACTGAAAACGTACCATCGAGGTGTATTTTCCGGAATTTGCCGAGTAACGCCGGAACGCCATGCGATAACGTTACGAAAGGCATGTTATAATAGCTGGAAGCATGTGATAAATTTTTCATATCAGCCCGCTAAACACCATTTTGGAAAATATGGAATTTACGTAAATTTAATGCTATTATCATACTGTAAAAAGTATAAGTTATTTACTGTAAGTATATGATAAGAAAAATTATCGCTAGAAACTATGGGCGCACGTGCCGTTGTCAATGAAATTAACAACGTCGTCATAGGTAAAATAGCGATAAACAGATTATCATTAGTCATCTCAACTCGATTGCTTTTCTCACTTTCGCCGTCCCGGCTCAAGAGAGAAAATCAATCTCGTTGAGATGACCAACAATAATCTATAATTATCTAAACTTTTCTTCTGATTCGCTACATAGATGAATAACTCAGCGCTCGTCGACTTTAGGTTATTTAAATCTATAATAATGAATCTGAAATAACGATACCACAGGTAAAGCTGGATGCATCCCTATGAAGGTTTTACGGACCCTTTGCCTTGTTTTAATGGGTTCGTGCCCTAAACAAACTTTATAAAATAGCTTTCAGTATTATGTTAAAGTGCGATCTTTGTTGGCTTTCGTAAGCGCGTGGAAACATTATAGATTAATGTGAATTTTGAATTTTGAATGATCCTTCTCGGCTTTCATATATATATACTGACATTTTATTGTCAATGAGAGGCATAACTTATCATTTCTTTCATTTTCCATCTCTTTCTTATTTTACAGCGGCCATAGTGAAACTTGATGATATTGCATGGTCTCATCTCCAAACTTTTATGAGATGCACAAGGTTGATAATAATACATAAAGAACGATAATATAAAATGCCATTTGTTAAAGAAAAGAGACATTCCCCAAAATCATTTTGATTATATATACTAGTATTATAAGTTAAAAGTTTGAAAGACTAGATCTTTTACAGGTTCTCGGGATATCCAAATACACATTGAGAGTCCTCCAAATGATGACAGGTAATGTATATTTATTAGTTAGTGTAACTCGGTCGCCTAAAAGAAATGTCAATGTGTCAACCGTTAAACAGCCGGTGCCTTTGGATTAAGGTATCATATAATGTTCTTTTTCACGGGTTCAACCGAACATAAAGCATTTCTTTTCTATACAAGGCTCAATGACACAAAACACAAATATTCTATGGGATGTAGGTTTGCAGCATCCAGTCGTTTAATAATACAATCGAAACATAATAACAACATGTGAACAAAAATTTAGAACGGCAGGTGTTACGAAAAAAACAGTCCTTATCACATTCTCTTCACTAGAAGTATGATCAACAGCCTGCACAATCTACAAAATACAATTACAAAATATTAGAAACAATTCACAACTAAATGAATGAAAAAAGGAAATTGAATAAATACTGTAAATTGGGCAGTGTACATGTGCTTCTATTGAATTGTACAATTCTATAAGAATAGTCGTATACGTGTAAAAGACAGAACAGAACAAAAATTGTTTTTTAAACAAATTATAAAAAGTCAAATAGACCTTAGCAGCAATTGAATTATAAACGTCTAGACTGGTTGAAACGCTAACCTTCGAATGATTTAAATTCCCGCTTAGTATGCACGGGTGAATCCACCCGTGCAAATTACTACGCATAACGGTATTCGTTATACCTTGTAACGAAAAGAAATTTATTTATGTTCTTTTTCACGGGTTCAACCGAACATTAAGCATTTCTTTTCTATACAAGGCTCAATGACACAAGACATAAATATTCTATGGGATGTAGGTTTGCAGCATCCAGTCGAGACAAAAGGCGAAAGAGTGCATATCAGATGCCAAGGTTTTTAGAAACAGAAAGGCTTTTTTTCAATACTGTCTTTCACATATCCGTCTTTAGCATTTTCGAATCGCCAACGGCCATGAACATTGAAAAGCCTATCTGAAACACATTTGTTTGCGGCTTGAGTAGCGCATCCGCTTCGTAAACTATGCAAACCAAATTGCTTTTTATCCAACACTATTGCGCTCAAAGCTTCAAGAAGAATTTCTCTGGCTCTAGTATAAGATAAAGGCTTATTTACTTTACTCAATGCCAAAGTATCTTTTTTGGACTGTAAAGAACGAAAAATGTACTCCGATGAATTAATCTCAAGACTTGCCAAGTCACAATAATGTTTTAAAAAATTAACAAGACAAGTCGGCATATCCGTACTTGCTATCATAACTATACTACCTTGTCTGTAAATATCGGTCTTGCAATTGTGAGCTATAATTTCAACGTATGTATTATGAAAACTGATATCACTCATTCTTATATGCGAGAGTTCTTTGTATCTAAAAAAATCCAGCATAAGCCAATAATAACATACAAAGTAACCTACAGTTGGACAGGTTAGATTTATCATGATACAGGTTAAATAGTTTAACAATCATATCCGCTGTGATTGATTCTTTCTTTTGTATGGGTTTCGCCAGAATTCTTTTTCCACCTTTTAAGACAATGTTTGACAGCGAACTGCAACAAGGGTTTGGATATAAAAACAGTTCGTGATACCACTTAATTGCGTAAAAAAAGTTAGAATTAAGTACGGACACTGAACAAGCTGATTGTATTAAATCTGTGAGATACAAGGAAACCGTAGATACATCCGCTGGCAAAAATTTTAAATTGTACTTTCTACAACAAAGTTTGAATTTATTAAGATATAAATCGTATTTCTTGTTTGTGGAATCTGATTTACTCTTTTTATCCATATCCATAACTGCAAAAGCGGTATTATGTAACCCATGTTTGCGCGAGAGTTTGTATACATATCTTTCCATTCCTTACTCAAAAGGATCTGCAAAAGAAATGGAAAGATATGCAATATCCTTCAATGACAGAAAATTACGACCAGGGCCGTGACACAAGCGGCCAGGTCCGCATATAAAGCACATGTACACTGTACAATGTACAGTCACAATATCAAAACACAAAGGGCGGCAAGGTCCGCATAAAGAAATTTTCACTCAAAATTCATTCATTCATTTTTGGCATCAAGTATCAATACAAGCACATTTGAAATAAACCTGCTTTCGTTGAAAACCATATTCTCAGCAGATCCCCTGTTGAAAAAAAAATAGAAGAGGTTTCATACTCCAAAAAATCTTGCACTAAACTAACAAACTTGCCGGTGTCAACAGACACCAGCATCGGCCAAAAAACTGCCGATTTCCACTTAGGGATAACCAATGTACCTTTAGCTTTACATAATTGAATATGATTTACAGTGTGAGCTATTAAATATACAAGTGGCACGAGCCATTTATTATCGCTAGACCAATCAAACGTAAAAGCATCGATACCTTTGGTTAAAGGATCAAAGAACTTTGAATTATACCTTGGGAGTTTAGCAGCATTGTTACTGTCAGCAAATCGATCTATGCTAAAAGTTCCCTATATTTTATTAAACTAATGGAAAACTCTGTCCGACACCGACCAATCGTCAAACTCAAAGATTTTACTATACTGATCCGCGATAGTATTCAAAGTTTTTTGGCATCCGTTCAATTTTCAAACACACCGAGTTGCCTATACAAAAATAAAAAATCTCCATAGCTAGATTGTGCAAATCCTGTTTCATACTGCCAACTTCAGATATGTGAGCTACGTTTTGGTTATCAGCGAAAAGTTTTACAAATTTATTTTTAAAATGATCTGGAAAGCTTTTCAAAGTCAAAATCACTGCCTTTAGTTCTCTCCAAGTGGAACTTTTGAGCTTTTCTTCGTTTGTCCATATCTGATGCGCAATTTGATCAGAAAAATGCACAATGTAACTAGCGCCCGCATATGAACTTGCATCAGTATAAGATAACCTCTCTGGAAGTCTCTGTATTGGTGCTAACACGCAATTAGGTAAAGATTTTAGTGAAGAATGCCAAAATTCTAACTCTTTAATAGACATAAGATCTAACTTAACTCCAGAGTCCCAAGAGGATCGCTCGTTTACTAAGTGATGTAAATGTTTTGTCATAATTCTACATATATTTCCTAGTGCGGGTGATAATGCAATGATTTTACCAATTACCGTTGCAACCGCTGCAACTTTCCTTGCAGTCGTATTACAAGGATTTACAAGTACTAAGGCAATAAAATTCAAAATATTCAACATTTTCTTTTCGGGTACGCTTAAAACACCCCTATGTAAATCCCATACAAAACCAAGCCAATCTAAACTTTTTTGTGGCTTCCACACACTTTTTTCATAATTTGGCAAAAAAACAGCTGACAATAAGTCTGACAATACTTCTTTTGACACTTTTAAACATAATTCTTCAGTATCTTCAAATCAGAGTCCATCATGTAGATATTCAATTATTTTGAATCCTTTACTACGCCAATATTTTACTAGAAGGCGTACCATTTTAGTGAAAATGTAACAAGCTGAGCTCAGCCCAAAGGGTAAAGCTGTAAACGTGTAATATTTAACTTTACTGTCACTTTTCCATTAAAACCCAAGAAACTTTTGTGATTCAACATGTATATCTATATGATGGTACCCGTGTCTCAAATTAAACTTAAATGAAAAATGTTTATTTGCTGCACACGTTTTGGCCTCTTTTACACCTTCATATTTAAATTTAGATAACACTTCGTATTGATTTACGTGTCTAAGGTCAAGAATCAGCCTTTCCTTGCCAGTCGAGTTGACCGACACAGATAAAGGATTAACAACAAAAGGGGCAGTGCTATCTTCCTTAGCGACTCCCGTACATACCAAATCTGCAATTGCACGTTTAACAAAATCTTTGTGTTCAAAAGCAGATCTATTGTTATTCAAAAATACAGAAGGAGGTGTATTGGTAAACTTTAAAAAATAGCCATATTCAAGTATAGGTAAAACTAAATTTTTTAAACTATCAGCCAATAAAAGTTTTTCTTTCCAAAATTGTAAGCTATTATATAATCGACCTTTTACATTATAAACTTGTACTGACTCATTTTCATACTCGTTTGTGTCTAAACATAAATTAAAGTCAATCAAAGATAATGCCTCATTTGGAACTGCTGGTGTTGTTAGACTTATTGGCTTTTTCTGGATAGTTAGACGACCAGTGTCCTATGGCACCATAGTAGTAGCAGATGTCTTGGGGAGATGGTCCTTTCCTTGCTCTTAAGTTTGCGGGACTGGATCTTGGACCATTATATCTTTGTGTTGTTTGTGAACTATTGGTATAGCTTCTTGTTTCAGGTGTTTCGCTAAAGCCACGAAAAAGTTTGTCAGCTGCAAATTTCTTCGATGTGTCTTTGGATGCGACTGCCTTTCTTTTACGAATTGCTCTGGTTTCGGCCTGTCGTAGACGGCGCTCACCATCAGAGTTATCAGCAAGAGGGTTACGTTCATACTCGCTAACGGTGTCCCAACCATGCTTGTCACCAATCTTGACAGTTTTGTTGCGAGCAGCAATATCTTGTTGGACTTTTTCAAGTTTTTAGGGCAAAGTCACGATTATCTGAAGAAATGGCGGCTTTCAAAATATCAATATCCTTGGAAACTTGGTCGTTAAATTCACACTGCTTTTATTGCTAACAAATTTGAATTTAAAGTCAGGCTTACTTGCAGGTTGGTTTAAGGCTGGAATATTTGATTAAAGACTGCGAAGATCTCCTTTTTCTGTTTTTCTAAGGCACTGTCTAAATGCTTGGAAAACAACGAGAAAGCATCAGCTTTAGGGTTGCTTGTAGGACTATCAACTTCACTACTATGATGACTTCTTTCAGATGCACATTCAGGAGAACTTTGGATTTCCTCGTTAGACATGAAGGAAAAGAAAGTCAAACAGACCTTAGCAGCAATTGAATTATAAACGTCTAGACTGGTTGAAATGCAAACCGTCGAATGATATAAATTCCTGCTTAGTATGCACGGGTGCAAATTACTACGCATAACGGTATTCGTTGTACCTTGTAACGAAAAGAAATTTATGTAAACTAACTCATCTGTGTAATTATCTTTTTTTTCAATTCTGATATTTATTAAACAGATTTGGATGTAGTAGCAAAAACATTTGCCATTTTAACATATTTTTTAGTGCTATGCCAATTAAAGAAAAGGAATATTAATCTAAATGCTAGAAGCAACGAGCAAACTGTACTAAAATTGATCCCGTTAATATCGTATACGTATCCAATGTTATGTTGCGTTCTCTGTGCTTTCTTGAAAGTAGATAAATTACTAAGATAAGACATTGCATATTTTGATATGTTCCTTTTATAATTTTCAGATATTTGGACTTAGCAATAGATCTACAAGATGAAGTACATTCATATGACACTACTGGTCGCCCCTACGAAGATCCTGTGCCATACCTACAAACGAGGGTTTACAATTACACATCGCCGGATTACCTCGATGTTCAACCAGATTTAGACGATAGTAGCACTAACAGTGATCAGTATGAAAAAGTGGATTAATACGAAGAAAAGGAATGTTTAGCGGTTTTGAAAACCTTAACAGTTTGTTTAATTTTCCTGTTCAGTGTTTGAATTTAAGTAAATATTCGACAAAGCGTGTACCTCTTTTTTCAAATATACTTTAAAGCAGGTTTTCACTTCAATATGAAGAAAAGAAGACATCCGGTATACCTTAATGAGACAGTAACCCAACGAAAAGATAACCTAAAGACATCTAGAGGGTAACATAGTATAGTCCGCAACAATAGACATGTGTCCAATCAGTATTTCAAGCTCTTAATAAACGTCTCAAGTGTATAAAAGTAATAGAATGGAATCAACTTAACCCAGACATAAGGACGTCTCGTAATATAAATATTTTCAAACGAAAAATTGAAAGCCAACTTAATACAGCCACCCTCCTAGTTTCGTTGTGGTGATAGAAAAATAATATATGCATATATGTACAGTTCTTTAAATACAGATCCGGGTTAATATGATCAAACATAATTTCGCATGCAGCTGTGGCCATCCAGTTGAAGATTGTATTCACTATTTTTTCGAGTGTCCTCTGAAAAATGAAGCAAGACATAATATGATAGTTAATTTTTAAAATAGAGGGTGACGGAAACCTTACAATTGAGCACAATATAGAAATTTTTGAAACTGTTCAATCATTTATCAAGAGAACAGATATTTATAACATACAACTACATGTGGCACTTGAATTCTCATTGACTATTTTCACTCCAGTCTACGTCTACCTTATTTTCCATATTATATTGTACTTTTATCCTTGCATATTGTTTCTGCATACATTGTTATCATGGTTTCGTCATTATTGGATGTTTCGTGTTGATATTTATATTGGGTGAGGACGTCGCTTATGTTGTTATAACATGTGTCCAATCCCTTTTGTATTCTTGTAAATAATTATATATGAATAAATTAATGAGTTTTTACACATGTCGTTAGTTTGCTTCTTGTTTGCTTTTTTTTATTCATATTTTAAGGGGCTTCGTTTTGCATGATAGCACATGGTCGGAATGATATGACTTTAACCAACATGCCACGTCCTGTCTGTTTTTGTTTGACATTTTTCTTTGTATCGATCTGACGAGTTAAGCCTTTTTCAACTGATTTTTATAGCTTGTTCTTATGTTGTGCTGTTACACCACTGTCCCATCTCACAAACATGTTTAACCCCCGCCACATTCTGTGTGTGCCTGTCCCAAGTCAGGAGCCTGTCGTAGGTTCATGTCTGTCATATTTGTTTTTCGTAAATTGTTTTGTTATAAATAAGGCCGTTAGTTTTCTCAATTGAATTGTTTCATATTTTTCATGTCGGGGCCTTTTATAGCCGACTATACGGTATGGGTTTTTCTCGTTGTTGAAGACCGTACGGTTGCCTATAATTGCTTACATCCACTCCATTTGAACTTTGGTGGATAGTTTTCTCATTTGCAATCATACCACATCTCCTTTTTTTATATCAAAAAAAAAAAACAAAAAAACACACCTCAACGTATCTAAATAACAATAGATTGGTCCAACAGACAAGACAACTACGGACCTCTAACAATAACAACAACAAACACACCACAACGTTCTTGAGGTATAAGATGAGCACAAGTGAGTTCATAATAACCGGAAAAGACAATTGACTTTGACCAATAAATAGCAGGCTTACTTCTTCAACATTAGTTATTACTACATGAAAATTTGTCAAAAATGTGAATTTCAAAATAGTTTGATTATCCAATCTATATGCCCGTGTGTCTTCTAGAAAATGCGAAATAAAGATCAGAAAAGAGGATTTACTGGATCTTGACAATGTGTATTGAGTAACGGTAGAGATTGTCATTCACCCAAATTCTTGATCTAACGTTAACATACCATCAGAATGTAACTCTGCATTTATAACTCCTGCACAGTCGAATAAATTAACAAATATCTTTTGTTAAAATGATGATTGATTGGTAAATGGTTTAATGTTCAGCAAAAAGTGTATGTATGTGTCTGTGTTTTTGTTACTTGTTTTTTCTGCTTTTGTATTGAGCCGATGAGTAAAGCCCTTTTCAATTTATTTTTATAGTTTGATCATATGTTGTACTGTTACACCACTGTCCCAAGGTTAGGGGGAGGGTTTTGCGCCAAAAAACTAGTTTAACCCCGCCACATTATGTATGTGCCTGTCCCAAGTCAGGTGCCTGTAATTCAGTGGTTGTCGTTGTTTCCTGTATATCATGTTTGTTTTTTCGTTCATTATTTTTTTTACATAAATCAGGCCTCAGTTTTCTCGTTTGAATTGTTTTACATTTTGCTCATTGTTGAAGTCCGTACAGTGACCTTTAGTTGTTAATTTTCATGTCATTTGGTGTCTGATGGAGAGTTGTTTTTTATTAAGATATCATCTAACTGTTAACTATGAATGTATCCAATGCTGTTGGCAGACACGCTGAGTTAGATTTGTAACTCATTATCGCACAAAGTAATAATCTACAGGAATACATATCACGGACAAAGGATCCGACGTGCTTAACAAAAAGCTGTAAGTACTAGTTTTAAATCTCTGGCTTATGGAAGTCATTTAATTTACCTCTATAAATATAAGTGGCAACCTATTTCCATATGTATGTAGCTGTTGTAAATAACTGTTGTGTTCTTTTGCTCTTAAAGACATTATATTTTTGTCAGAAACTTTTACAAAAAAAAAGTTTTCTAGATGTATTGCTGGTCAGTGAAACGTTTGTATCTAAAGAACGCGAAAGCTAAAGTATAAATAAAAAAAACTGGCTGATATAAGAATAAGAGATGTGGTATGATTGCCAATGAGACAACTATCACAAAAGTTCAAATGAAGTAGATATAAGCAATTTGAGGCAAACGTGCGGCCTTCAACAATGAGAAAACCCACACCGTATAGCCGGCTATAAAAATCCCCGACATGAAAAATGTGAAACAATTCAATTGAAAAAACTAACGGCCTCATTCATAACAAAAAAAATAACGAAGAACAAAAATGACAGACATGAACCTACGGCAACCATTGAACTACAGGCTCTTGACTTAGGACAAGCACATAAGGAATGTGGCGTGGTTTAAACATGTTTGTGAGCGCCCAACCCTCCCCGAACCTGGGACATTGGTGTTTTAGCACAACATAAGAATACACTGTAAAACTCAGTTGCAATTGGCTTTACTCAAAAGGTTGGTACGAGGCACAAAAACAACTACATGTAACACACGTAGTTTTAAGCCAATACAACTTTTCTAATAAATAAATCATGTTCTCCCAGACTAAAGTATGAGTTAATGCACGTGTACGCTCTAAATTCGGATAATATCGCATTAAAATGGAGTTTTGAGGTAGGTGTAGTTTCATTTTCTATTCTATTGCATCATTCGTACATTCGTGGATTTCAGCAAGTCAACATGGCGCCTCACTCCTCAGCTAGGACATGTCAGCTGTGGAATAGCCAACGAAAAAAATGTTTGGGTTAAGAATTATAAGGTAATTATATTTTTTCTAGTGTTTATTTAAGAAATAATTCATGCAAGCCCTAGATTTATTTGAAATTTGTAGCTTTTATCTTACAAGGGGTAAAATAACAGCTATACACACGGCAATCTTTAAAATTAGTAATACCTTCGCTTCAGTTTTTCAAATTATTGTATCTGTCTTATTAGAATCTAAATAGTTCACGCAAGCCATATATTTGTTATCATTTTCACATGGCCTGGGCCGTTATATTCGTTAATTTTATCCCTCGCCAACACTCGAGATAAAATTCGAATATAACGGCCCAGACAATGTGAAAATTTCCAACAAATCTATGGCTTGTATGAATTATTTCTTAATTCAACGCATTTAGTGTAAAGACGTCATAAACAGTCTGAGAAACGCATGACCTTGTTGAGATTGTATTCCATCTAAAAGATGAGGCAAGTGTTTTAAAAAATGTGTTACATGTATACTTGATTTATCTTTTTCTATTGGAATTGTTGAAAATGCTAGGAAACAAGCTAGAGTCGGCCCTATTCATAAGAATAATAGCAAACTCGAGGTCTGTTACTATAGACCATACACAATATTGTTATTATTTCTTAAATTTTAGAAAAAAAGTATTTACAATGAGTTAGAAAAAAATATATTTGTTTGACCTAGAATAATTTACTATGTATGGGTTAGTCTATGGAAAGGTATATACTATGAAATTTAGAGCGAGGGGCTTGCCCCGATCTCTTAATTTCATAGTATATACCTTTCCATAGACTATCCAATTTAGCACATATTTACAACTTGAGTGATTGTACAATTGATGTAATTGATGGTTAGTTGATCATATGGTCAGTAAAAAGTAATCATCTAACAAGGTAAGTGTGACTAGATTTTAGTAAATTTAAGAGAGTTGTTTTGCTTTTATAAAAATCTACTGTTATATCGTAGCTCCATGTCATTTCAATTTGAATCATGATGAATAACACCGATATGCCAGATTTTGAGTTGTTAAATAGTACAGATACAGATTGGGAATTAAGTGATTTATATGCAATCCAAACACAAGTATTGGTATTTTCAAACCATAATGCTACTTCTTCAAGTCGATTTGCAGAACCAGTTCTATCAGAGGAACTAGAACAAAGAATTAGTGACAGAATCCCAACAAAAACAAAACAATCACCAAGCTGGTCCATGAATGTAAGGAAAGGTTGGGCGGAAAACAGAAACTGCAACCCAATGACTGGGTTTGAGGAGTTTACTTGTGTGCCTGTTGATCCAGAAACAACCAGTATAAAAGAATTGGACTTCTGGTTATCCAGATTTATCATGGAAACCCGGCGAACAGATGGATCACCTTACCCACCTAACACCCTATTGAACATTTCCGCAGGAATTCAAAGACATTTACGAGAAAAAAAAATCTGAAATTAATTTGCTACAGAAAAACTCCGTTGATTTCCCAACATTCCAGAAGTCTCTTGACACCAGAATGAAAGAAGTAACAGCTGCTGGTCTAGGTATGTTTATCTATATCATAAAATGTGTAATTC